ACAAGTTTAAATAGAGAAAGTAAAATTTTAAAATAGATATATTTTTATTTAAAGAACAAAATGTTAGATATAAAAACGAAAAAGTTAGATTTAAAAAAGAGAGAATTTAGATTTGAATGTTGTATTTAAGAAAAGTTTAAGGTTTTGTAATTTTTATTTGGATTATTTTGAAAGCTCATTAACAAATGTGATGTACAGAAATAATATTAATGTTATTAGTTAAGGTAAAACACTTATCCTTGATTTGATAGTTGCACAATAACTTAATTATATATATATATAATAAAGTTTTTTTTTTGTAATAGTTGTACAGTTATGAAATCGGCTTAACAAGTATTCTCAAGTGTTGATTAATCCCCATAAATATTATGAATTTAATTAAATGCATTCTGCTGTTCGTTTCAATGCTGTAAATATTTTGTATATTCGTTTGTTAGAAAATTCGATATTATTTACATTTTCGTGATTCCTTGAATTTAGACTATTATTTTTATTTCCAAGGCGTAGCTGTTTACACTTCTAAAATTTTTTTATTTGAGAGATTATAAGAGTTTATTTATAGTTTAAGTCTAGCGTGAATTAGCACAACGGATTTTCTCTTAGCTCAAATCTTAATTTGGTAAATTATCAATGTATTTTTAGTTGCTTCCACTTAAATTGCGTTTTATTAATAATTTCCTTTGGAGATATTCGAAATCACAACGTTATGCAATCATAGTTGCATCGAATCAATACGTTAGAAACTCGCAATAAAATTGTTATTTGTATTTTTGTTATAGAAATGTCAAGGTTAAATTCATTTATTTTAAGGGCTTATTCATTGGAAATTATACACCAAACTTAATGTGTTACTTCCGGGCAAAAAAAAATTAGTAATTACACAGTCAATTATTGATAATAATTTTGTTAAAATAGTCAAAACGTAATTAAAGCTGTAACCTTGAAACACGTTCGGCTCTTATTAATAATGCGTAGCTGCTTCCGCTTCTGGACAACTTGAATAACAATATTTAGCATTATGTCAACACTCGGTAATAATTTTAACTTACTCAGCGAAAATAAACAACATCAATGGAAAATTCGATTAAAGTTTTAAACATTGAGCAAAAGAAAAACATCCTACTTTTAATTGCGCTTTTCGGAAGAAGCACAATTTGAGCATTGAAATAAAATAAACTGAAAGACGTAGTGGATTAATTTAAATTTTTCTTAAAATTATGTGCGAGGAGTTTTTATATTTCGAAAATTTATTAGTACGATTATTATTATTATATCATTTGGGTAAGAAAACATAAAATTTTGTAAATTATATCACGGTAGAAATTAGAATATTTTATTTTGCGCGAAAAAATAGACGGTTTAAAGAAAATGATAAAAAAAAAGTGGAATTATGTTAGATTTAGTTCGGTTGTTAGAAAAAATTTATATTATTTTTTTAACAAATTAGATATGTATAATTAGATGTCTTTTTTATTAATTATATTATATTTTTGCATGTTTAAATTACTTATTATTAATGGAATTAGTTATAGTATACATTTAATTAGGTTTTTTTAAAATTTAATTTCTAATATTATAATTATGGTTTTTGCATGTTTAATTTAATTAATATTAATGAATTTAATTCTATTATAAATTCGTAAGTTACAAAAAAAATTCGAAATTGTATAATTTGAAATTTAGAAAGTTTTAATTTTTTTATGATTATGTGTTTGTTATTGAGTTTGAAAATACTTGTTATTATTAGCAGACGATCAGATGAAGGATCGAAGGTCGATAGGCTTTTGTCCGCATTAAGAGATATGGATGAGTTACATATGTGAATTTTTTTGTTAGCTGAGGAAAGTTATTGTTGTTACGTAAATGTATGATAGCGCGGTGATCGTTCAAGTATATGTTGTCTTCTCTAGTAATTGTTATGAAGGTTCGTGGGTTATGATGTAAGCACATCCGTTATCTGAACTCGAGTGTATCGTAATGAATACGATGTTTATTTTCGCATGAAACTGTGATAAAAGTATTATTTCTGGATAACAGTTTTGGTTGGGATGATGCATTTGGATACAGCTGATTGGTCTATTTCGGTGGAGTGTCCATCTTATCAGACTTGTTTGCTGCTGTAGAGAGGAAATCCATGGAAAACCATCGAAGTCCAATTGGAAAGGATAACAGATCTGATTGAGATTTGCATTGTTGTTAGGCGGTTTATTTGAAGCAGAACTGTTGCGACGCCTGCGTCTCTCTATTGTTGGAAATGCCTTGTGGAAAAAAGTGCGAAAGGTAAGCGCAAAAGCGAACTGTTTCACGTTCGATATCTCTTTGTAGAACCTACCGTGCAGCGCGCATGCCAAATGTGCGTATTATTTCTATAATTCTCCTGTTTTCCGTTCGCCAGTTTACCCAAATATCTTGTCGGAGCAAGTAAGTTTCACTATAGCAAAGCAAAAAAAAAACACAAAACAACAAGTATAGTAACGCACTCACCAGACCATTAGCACGAGTAGTGGTAGTAGATTAGTTAACTAGTTTTTAGTGTGTGTAAATTCGAGGCAGGTCTATCGATTCGGGGTGAAGGCTCGACACCGTGCCGAATCGATAGGGCTTGCATCTTGCATGTAAAATTTCAAAAAAA